AAGTTGAACAGAATTGGTGATAAACAGCATCCTTGTCGAACTCCTCTTCCAATCTGCACACTTCTTGTCTCCCCTCTGTCCAGTCGTACTCTAACTTTCTGATCCATGTACAATTTGCTAATCAATCTTCTTTCATGCCAATTGATACCTGTTTCCTTTAGGATCTGCATTAATTTGGTCCAGTTTACACGGTCAAATGCCTTCTGCCAGTCTCTAAAGCAAGCACACAGTTCTTCACTCTTCCTTTAGACCAAAAAAAATTAGCACACCAAAAATCGGGTGTATATATCTTAGTGTAAAATTTGCAGATATAAGATACTGCCACATACTACGTGACCAGACACAGGGTTTGGATTGGTAAATGGTTTTATTTCACTCTTACAAACCATAATTACCATTAATAATAGCGCTATGGTGAATTCACACACTCTACACTTCACTACAGCATATACTAAGTCTTCTCAGTCTGGTATGTCTTCATCAGTTGTTATTTGGTAAGAGCTACCAACACTGTAGATTCCTCAGCTTCTGTGTTCATGTCCTTACCAGCTACTGATTGTTTCATAGCTCTTCATGGCGACAGCTCCTGGTCACTGACTGCCTAGCCACATCTGGGAACCACTGGCTACCACTCGCTATCACAGGCTAGCACTCACTTCTGATTCAGAACTTGCCTGCCTCAAAGTCAAAGTCACCTTACAACTGGTGGTTTACTGACAATCAGTTTGTCCTTGCGCCAAGCCCCTTGGGGCTCATGACTGCAGTCCCCCCCTAGCTGAACCCTTGCAGTCACAGTCCTCAGGTAACATCCTCTCTGACGAAAAGATGGGCTTGTCTCTTATCAATATGCTTGGCCTCTCATCAAGTCTAAGTATCTTATATATAGCATGTTACTGAAAATTTTTCCTTGTGCATTATATATAAGTCCTCTGTCAGTCCAGGCTTTGCAAAGCAGACCCTACCTATCTTACGTATCTTACATACAATTGCAGCTTAGTCACTTGAATGGTTGTTAAATTTGACCACTTCAAAGTTTAAGCCTCTTATATTTTCTATGCCTGGCTTCGCCTTGTCCTATACTGTGAACATGCTCATTCTCATGATTTTGTATGACTTCTGCTTGTTGCATGTCCAATTTTGTTATATAATCATATACACACAGAAGGTTGAAAGCTCCAAGTGGCTCTCCTTGTATAGCCTCTGCATAGATCCAACAGAGAACACTGCCTCCAACAGCTTGTCTGTTGTTGTGTGTATCTGTTGCTGTGGTCACATGATATGGTTGACGCAGAAACATGTTTACAGAACTATTGCCTAGAAATGGATGTCTTCTCTGGCTCCACAATTCTGTCTTTGAGCAGACATGTTACAATATTAAAGAAATGTGGCACTAGACAATCATAAAATATGACTGTAATGAAAGAACAAGGTAGTTCCGACCTGTATACCAAGCTGTTCATTGCAACCATCATACATGAGTTACCTGTTAAATGAACAATGAGAAGTCACTATAACCTGTTCAATGAATGAATGAACGTATCAGCTTCACAAACCTCTGATGTGTTGATAAGTGAAGGAAGCTGATAAGTTTGTTCAGGCTGTAGATACAGCTCTCCCTGCTTGCCCTCTCACCCTTCAAAGAGTACAAGCAAAATGATGGGTATATAAAGAAACATCAGTAAGCAATGTGCAGCAGCATGTCACTACACAGGTGAATGCAACTCCTCCACAAAAGAATAGCCTGCAATGCAAACACATCTCTGAAGACATTCAAGCAATTAATAGTGATATTACAGATTTTTGTCAGTGATTTTAAACCGACTGACCAGAGTAAAGGTAGAGGTAAAACTATCCCTGTAACAGGCCATGAAGGCCCATAGGCTTGTGAGACATCAAGGCTCACATATTTTATAGAAAATCAGCTCACAGATGGTGGTGAGGTTGTCAGCCTTATGTGCCTGCTGCCCTTTACCCTCAGGAAGATTCCTGGTACTCGTTTCTGTTACAGGCTGAGTCAACTCCACAGCCATTGTGCAGCTGAAAGGATTAGGTCAACTGAAAAATCCAGTGACCTCATCAGGAGTTAAATCTGCTACCTTCCAGCTTGTAGCATAGCACCTCAACCAACTACGCTACCAAACAAAATAAAAGTGATAATTGTCCCCAAAATTAAAATTAAAATAGTACAATGTTAAATGATGGAACATTAAGTGATCATTGTCTGTGTAAGGTTTAATGTGATATATTTTACAGCTTATTTCACCACTGAATCTACCAAACATATAAATAAGGTGATTCACAAGTGCACATGAATGAATCACATGTTAAACAATTTAAGAATAAGTTAATTTATCATTTTAGGAAGTAATGATTTCCTTGAAGAGCATTTGTTAAGAGAAAATTTAGTGAACATGAATTCTCCATTAATTTAAAGATAATAATTAAAGATAGGTGACCTGAGATAATACAGTATGCGCCAAAATATGCAGTACTGAAATGAAAAGACATCCTGTTGATACCACTGTCCATTCATGTGAAGGCCCCCCGCACGACAAAACCTTTTCAAATTCTGAAGAAATGGTCCAATCACCATGTCTCTGTAGCATTCTTGGGTGACAGTAACAGCATTGCCTTCCTCATCCTCAATGAAATAGGGGCCTAATATACCGTGTGCTGAGACGGCACACCATATCGTCACATGTGTACTATGTAGCGGTTTCTGGACGATAACATCTGGCCGCTCAAAACCAAGGAAGCGAGCTGTCTGGGGACCACTTCCTTATGAGCGGAAATAATACTCAACTACTCAACTATGGCGCATATTGTACATATTTATAAACAATAGTAAAGGAAGAAAAACATATATCACACATATATGGACATATTTATTCTAATGAACAGCACGCAAAACAAATATAAAGGAAGAACAAAAAACACTGATATGGCAGGTATCAGCAGGTGACTGTGATGTCTAAGGTTCTCAAGTTTGGCTTAATGCGTTTAACACAGCAGCAACAAATCATTACCATACAAGAAAAAAAAATACTGGTTTATAAGAATGAAATCACAAAAAGTTGTTTTCTGTATCTTTGTAGAATAAGGAGTTAAGTGTAAAGTACAAATAAATAATGTTGTCAAAATCTTTAATGAACATGGTTTTTGTGTAGGTGAGGGGAATTGCTAGACTGAAGAGATACTGCCATATTTACTTAACTGCAAGAACCAAGTTTCCTTTAACAAAAATAGCAACTGACCCATTTATTGCCATACAAGATATAAAATAAATATACAGCCTCATACTGAAAACATCATTAAATAACACATGACTATTCACATGCAGGCATGCACGTGCTCGTGCACACACACACACACACACTCACTCACTCACTCATTCACTCACATACACACACACTCTCACATAAAAACAAAAACAAAATATTTTTCAAAGCGTTTGCCATAACCTGCAGTACCCTGAACCTATTCAAAGCAATGAATTTTATTATATATATGCACTGTATTACTTCAGTTTTTCAGACAAGCACACATGATCTATAACAAGAGTTCATACCAACAGAAAGTGAGATTTCTTGGGATAAATGTCTAAAGTCGCTTCTTTATCAACTTTTCAAGTTTCTTGATGCGACTTGACTCATGCTCTGGACTGCTTAGAGAAGCACTAAGAGGGGCTGGTCCTCCTGCAGTTGTACCACCAGAACCTGATTGGACCAGAGTTTGAAGGTGGGACCGGAACAGTTCCATAAGAGAGCTCTGGTCATTACGTCTGAGTCCCTGTTGATAAAAGAAAATATAGTGAGCTCTTTACAAAATTGATAAATATTGCTCTAATGAGAAGCACAAAGTGCATTTTTATACTGATTTGAAAAATTTCACTTAAGAATAAAATATGATGCCTTATTGTAAACACAGATATTATTTACAGCCTTATCGTCTGCTATGAGGTCTGTCTCTGGAATTAAAGAAGCGACAGCAACAATACAGGCCTTTAACTGAAATGCATGCAAAATATGGAATCATATGTATAGTCAGCTAAACCTGTTTCAGCCTGTGAGAATTTTCTCCTGTCTGGGCTTCAGTACAGCTGCCTGGATGCATATTTTGGTCTTCTGATTAATGACACCACATAGTCTGGTAAACTGGTATCAACATTTCAGTAAAAACATACTGTCTTCATGTTCAGGGTGAAGATAGAGGTGGTATGTTCTTCCAAAATGTTGGTACCCACTTACCAGAGTACATGGCGTAACTACCCAGACAGCCATAGTATTAATCTACACTGCCACGAAAACGTCTAACCTTATAACTACCTTATTCATTAACCAAAAATAAACTTGAGCACAATTACAAGGTGATCCCATCAGGTACGGATAAAATTGAAATGTTATGTCAAATATGAACTGTTAACTTTTATTTAAAGAAGTATGTCCCATTGTTTATTATGCATGTTAACAGAATTTTGATCAACAGGTTTGACACACAACTGTTTTCTAGTTTGTTGGGATGAACATTTTTTACACATCTTAGTGGCTAAAAGTTGGGGACATTCATCCAGTTTGGGAACTGAGAAGTGTGCATGTTAGAAGCTAACATTTGTTGTTCTGGGACATTTTCCTCTCATCCTTAAGCATCTGATTAGAATCATCTGGCGTTTTTGGATTTTAGATTTATGCATATAGGCAAGGCTTTGCAACCATAACAAATGACTGCTCTAATGCTTCTCATGTATACGTAGATGGAATCTGACATCAGGTTTGAAACACAGATTTCTTCTAAATAATATTTCAAAATCCATTTCCTACCTCACAGGAAACATAATCCATACCCATAATAGAGACCAGCTGGTCAATGCTCACTAGGGAAGTAGCTGCTGTTTATTCTGAGAATCATAAATGCTAAAGCAAGTATTACATATTGTAACCACTATGATAAGGGTTAATAAAATCCAGCAAGATATCTTGACATTAGAATCTCTCTACTGAACTGAACATTTAATTTATTAATCTTTAACATCCGAAGCTCACATACCGGTACACCGAAAGTTACAGTCACCATGGCCAAAGTATACGTATTTATACAGTCAGGCATTTAAATGCCACTAATAGAATCACATGCAGAATTCTAAATAATTATTTTTAAATATAGTAAAATTCAGTGTACATACTTTTCTTTGTCATCTGCTTGATGTATACATAGGCTTCACTCCTGCCCCCTTGTCATCTAACTGAATCTCACCTTTGTATCACATTTCTTGGACTTCAGTTGACTTTCAATTTCATCATCTTCCAAACAATGTTTCGATGCCATTGTATGATGAAATGAAACTACGATATATCAATCCACTATGAACTTCCAGAAAACAGAATGCACTCTGTATTGCAGCTACAATGCAAACAATTGGTTGAAACCACAGAAGGGACAATATTTTCTTGCAGATGCAATAGAAGGGCCTGGGACTGATGTACAAAACAAAGAATTTTCTCTCCAGTCTCTCTTGAATTCCCATACTTTCACTTTTCTATCCCTCTAGTCAAGAGAGTTGAATAACTGAAGAGTGTAGCAAAAATGTGAATCTTACAAAGGGAATAATAAAACTAGGTTTTTAGTGGTTCCAGATGTTCCAAACTATCAGTTGATGTAAGTGACCTACCTTCATATCTAGCACCTTCTGGAACTCTGATGGATCAGCCTCAGGTAACAGTTTAGCAAACTGATCTGTGAATGTCCTTGCTGGGTCTGTAGGAGCCATCACAACTTTCAGGATCATTTCTGCTTTAGTCATCCCTTTCACCACAATCTTGGTATAGCTATAAATCACAGGTTGCGAGAGTTTAAAACACTAAGTATCATTGAGAGATAAAAGAACAATTCATATTTGGAGCAGTTTACTGTGTAGCAAAAATGTTGGCTTGCAGTACCCATCACCTTTAAACAAGGCTGGAGAGTGAACTTAAAACTTAGAGTAGGTGTCCACATCTTTACCAAATATGCTCTTTCCACGTTTGCATCTCTCACTGGTTGTGGGCTTCATTTATTNGTCATAAAAGTAATCCGGGTTCTTTATTGCCACACCTTGTACACCCGTCTCAGTTGTTTATGGTCACTAGTATTTTATTTATTTATTTCTGTAGTTCTTATAGGTGTGAAACTTGATCTCTGATATTAAGGGAAGAACAGACTGAAGACTTTTAAGAACAGTGTGCTCCAGAGAATATGTGGACTGAAGAAGGATGAAATAACATGAGACTGGAGAAAACTGCATAATGGGGAGCTTCATAACTTGTACACTTCACCAAATATAATTATAACAATCAAGTCAAGGAGGGTAAGATCGGCTGGGCATATAGCATGCATTGGAGCAAAGTGGAATGCATATATAGTTTCTGTGGGAAAGCCAGAAGGAAAGATACTACTAGGAAGACACAGACATAGGTGGGAGGATAATATTAACATGGATCTCAGACAAATATGATGGGGTGATATCAACTGGATTCATCTGGCTCAGGATAGGGACCTGTGGTGGCCTCTTGTGAACATGGTAATGAACATTCAGGTTTTGCTGGATTTGCTGGCTTTGTTATGAGAACAGTCAATCCATGCAATGTTTCAAGCATTTGCATAAGGGAAGAACTGGTGTTCATACAAGCACCATAAATATACCTACCAATTCTGATACTCGTACTTACAATATTTCAGTAAATATTTTATTTCAATACTTTGCAATCTTCTCATTTTTCAGGGTCTACCAGTTTAAGTGGACAATTTTGGAGGATCATTTACAATGTTATATTAGACACGTGTCATTAGGCTGCCTTAACTTCAAGTGATAACAAATCAGAGGTCACAGATCTTGACCATTTTCATATAAAAGCTTGATGTGGATATTTATTTTCAAACTGAATATAGCCAAGAAAAATTTTTGTTTCATGGTCAGTGGCACATCCCAGTGTCCCAAGCATTACTATATAGGGACTATCAGTTATTCATTTCTTAACCTGTATGTCAAACACAAGAAAGTTTGATATGTTTTTACAGTATTTATTTTACATGATCAATACACTAACCTGGCTGGAGCCTTGCGATTCACTTGAGAGCCAATAGATGGCAAGTCAAGAAGAACTGTTTTCAGCATATGCGTGTCCAGTAACAGTTGTTCAGCTCCAACAGTACTAACTGGCTTACACTTATAGATGTGCTGAATAAACTTTGGTATAAATGAACTGAAAAGAAATTCATAATACAGACTGAGGTCAGAGATTGTGTGCACTCTTGTGAAAAACATTAAGAACAAATGACAAAACTGGCAGATGGCTCTCATGATACAGTATCTAAAGAGAATAACGTCTGGGGTGCATGGATACTTCTGTGAATTTTAAGCCAGCTGTGAATGTGTAAATATTGTACTGAATATTACTATACCTTCAATGCCAGAAACACTGAAATATGGCAATACTTACTTCGCAAATTTAACACAAAACTGTGTGAAATACTTCCGTGACGAAGCAAGGTTGTCTCGAATAACCGGTACAGTCTGCTTCAAATGTGATGTGATGGCTGTGACATAACCACTTTGATCTCCCACAGTCTCAATGTTCTGCCATGAAATCTAGGGGAGAAATAGTAGCCAAAATGTTATTCATCACAGTCAAGATATGAATGTATATTAACTATCATATATAAAATGCTTGAAAGGTGTACTAATGCTATATGGATAACACATCATTTTGAAATACATATGAGTTAAGTGAAATCATGTTGCTACATGGGTCAACCTTCTTACTGTCAGTCAAATTTGTTTTAAAAATTTGAACAGTACAAACTGATACCTGAAGCAACTTCTTAACCTAAAAAAAAATTACCTTAACACTTCGCAGACCAGTGATTTGAATATTTAAATCACCCTGGGGACCGGCGTTTTTAAACCTACTACCCTAACTTGTGCACTGTTCACTTGAAAAATTAATATAAAATCTCCTAATTAATTTTATTTATTTTATGCCACGTTTAAAACCAAAATGCCTAGGCCTAGGCATCCGGTCTGCGAAGCATTAAGACCACTGGTTGTGCTAGCCTCTAGACTGCTAACGTACATTTTCACAGACTTCACTTAAGTCTTGTAGGGTGGATTCAAAATCTCTCAGATTCAAATACTGTACAAAGTAAACTCAATTTTGTATGCACATTTGCAGTAACAGCATTATGGGAGAGCTGTCTATCCTCCTTTGTGAAAATTCTACTGCATAAATCTCCTGAGGTGCACAACAATAATATTGCTCAAGTGTAGTTTGAACAGAACCAGATAAAATCACACCGGAATTTCAAAGGGGTCAGTGGTAGTTAAGAACCAATCAGAGGGGTTCAGGTTCAACATCTAGTCTCAAAACTCTTATGAATGAAAATACACAACTGAAAGTAGCCTTAAAAAGATACTTAAATATTGCTCTCACTTTAATCTGTTGACAAATTCCTGTTATATAAAACTGACTCATAATCTACTCAAAGGTTTGTATACATAGCATGAGTGCAAATTAACGATGTATATGCATTATATAAACAATCTGTGAATTAAGAAGAAAGTTGTCTTCTGGGTTTTGGCACCGTGTATTCTTCGTTTTGGCCGATGTTTTGGAGGAACGTCGGCCAAAACGAAGAATACACGGCACCAAAACCCAGAAGACGACTTTCTTCATAGTCATCGCCGTGAAAACCTCAAAACTTACAATCTGTGAATTAAATTTGTGTTTTTTATGTGAAAGCTTCAGTTGTGTTGTATCTACATGTTTTGTGTTTTCAGGACTTATTCTACATGCTACAGTTATTTTTAACTAAATTTGGATCGATGTAATATATAGACAGAGAGAGTCTGATAATTATCTAATAATCCCATCGCTGATCTCTTTATCATAATCCCAAGAGAATGACAGTCACTTAGCAAAGGGTTCAAATGGGCATAAACCTTCTTTTTCTACTATAAAGTATGAATGCTATCCATATTCAAGGACGACTTCATGGAGCGAAGATATCATATTGCACCTCTGAAAAATTGTAAGCGAATAAATTTAAAAACTTACCTTGCTCATTGCTATGAGAGCAGGTTCACAAGCTGTTTCTAGATCCTGGACTAACAGCTGAATACAATTTGAAATAACACTGCAAGAAAGAGATTACACGAATGTAATATATATAAAAATGTAGCTTTCCTGTTAATTGGCTTTTGGTTTCACGTTTCCTTTATGGACTGAACAGAAAACGTCGAAAGATAATATTGTGGCATAATGGCTGGAAGCTGGAATAATGGAGCCAGAAGAAACTGTCCACTGATACGTTGCAGCTAACTATACATATTTCTGCAGCAGAAAATAAACAAGCAACAACAGAGGAATTCTTGGAAGCGGTGTTCTCTATGCAGTTTATGCTGAGGTTATATAACAAGGACACCAACAGAGTAGAGAGTCAAGCAAATCCAGACATATAAAATAGAAGAGGCTTAAACTTGGTTGCAGTCAACCTTACAACCATTCAAATGACTATGCTGCTGTTGTAGCATAAGATAAGTAGATACTCATGATCTGCTTTGCAAAGCCTGGACTGACAGAGGACTTGTATATAGTGCAAAAGGGAGAATTTTGACAGCATGTGTTCAGTCATCCCCCCTCCCCCCAAAAAAGAACTGATTGGTGGTACACCGCCAGTTGTACACACATGCACACTCACGCTCGTAATCTTGTTCATTTCTAGAAGTTCCCTCACATACATTTATGATCATCTGCTCTGGCACATTATCAGTTAGACCATTCAACTCACAAAGTTTTCTTTCCTGCATGGCAACTTGGTTTATAGCACTCTCGCTCTCTTGTTCTCCCACTCCCCTCACCCCCCTTTCCCATCCTTCTGTTACATTCTGTCTTTTAGGTTTTAGTATTCTGTGCAGTGTCCCACTCTCAAACACCCCCAAACCGATTTCTGAAATGCCTGTGTGAGTCCATCAACAGGCACATTAATTGGGAGATTAAAAATGTTTATTATACTGAGAGAGAAATAATGTGTGAGATTTGAAAGAGAATGTTTCCAATGAGTGAAAATCCACAGGATGACAAACTCAGTAATCCCACATATATCATTCTAAATGGAAATTATCATGAACAAATGGCAGTACATAAGAAGTGGGGTGTGGCAGGTCAGTATATATCAGTAGCCTCTCCTATCTACAGAAAGTACATTCTCAAACAACCTACTTGTGAAACATGTCCTGTTCCTGGGAGAGGTTGATTTTGTCAGCCAAGTTTGGGTCCACCTTCTCCTTCAGTTTCTCTCCCAACTGCTGTGTTGTCTCCAGGCAGTACTCTGCTGTCGCCAGAATACTGGCAACAATAAGTCACTTTAGTCCACACCTCGTTCCACGTTGCTTGAAGCATATTTGGTGTTACCATAGCCACAGCATCCCTTATGCAGGGTTCAGGTGTTGAAGGTCATTTATCTTAAACTGGTAGACAACGTTCTTCACATAAATCCACTGGGGTTAAATCTGGTGACCTAGGATGCCAAGCAATCGATCCACCTCTGCCGATTCATCCCTATATCTGGGTGATTCCTAGCGTCATGGCAGAAATGTGGTGGCGCATGTGGGTAAGCCAGGCATAAAAAAAAACTTTCAGAGTTTCTCTTTCCAATGACATAAAGCGGGATATGTATATGGCAATTAGTTTCCGAGATATAATTTTCTTTATTTTGGGTACCTTTCATCCGGACACCCAGTACACAAAAAAAAGTTTTGTTAGCATAAGATCTATCTGTCACTATACAATTTCAGGTTACCACCATAATAAACTGTTGAGCATTAACATGTTGTATCAATGTAAGTTATGTGGTAGATCATGAATGACAGTAGTTTTTATTTCAGTGTATCATGTCTATTCTGTGAGCACTGATATCTTGCTCTGGATACGTGATGCGTAGCATACCACATAAAGAAGACAGCCTACAATTGGCTATTTGTGCATGTTAATCATGGGAGATTGTATTAAACAATGGCCTCGATGTGGCATTTGATAATGTGGAGGACTAGTAAGGAATATGGGAATAAGTAGGGAAATTAATAATACAAAAACTAATATAACAAATGATGAGATCTCTTGAATTCTAAATGGGTGTTACACTAGTTAATATCAAATTTCCATAGTTTAGTAGAAATTAGTAAGACTTTACCATTTTCTCTATTCATTTGTTTCAAGTGACACTTCAAGAATTTTTACTGAATGGGCACCCAAACGCCTACTTTCTTATACCTCCCTGCTTAGTTATCTATCTGTTATTGTAAGAGTTAATTCCCGTTTAGATATGCACCAAATTCTTACACTTTATTCACTGTTTACCCTAAAAACTGGGAACTGATAACTAAACTTATAAAAAAATTGTTGCAGCTCTTTATTGTACATGAAATATTTAAGTTAGAAGGTAATCACAAAATTGCTACAGTGAATAAAAACACACTCACAAACAAAAACCAAAGTAACTATTTACAAGTTATGCATGGTGAATTATGTCAATAATTACCTGCAAACACGAGTTTGTTCCTCATGGGTGTAACGAGTTACTTCACCTTCTTTCAACAGGCTATGAATATTCTGCATGAATCCTGATGTTGAGAGGTCACGAAAATCTCGAGTGATATTTGACATGCTGCTTCCAATTGAACCAGGAGCTGAAATCCTAAGAAAAAGCTCTGTGTAACTATATCAAATGTTACTCACAATATCCATGAAAATATCTCCATCACAGTTTTTGTTTATCAAGTTCCTATGGAAAAGTGTAAGCAATGGGGACATCACACCACAAATTACTTGTTCTGATCCAAAGACATTGACTCCTTGGCCAATCAATGTCTCTTCTTCCATACAGTCTACATCTTAATGTTTAGTCACATTAAAGGATTTTCCATTTAACACAACCAAAACAGTGTAGTAAAATGAAGTAGCAAGCCCATGAGACAAGACAATGAATTCCTTATGGGATAATCCTGCCATTCTATGTGAAAGTACTGGAGTTATAATAGAAACCTGAACAAATACTTCTAAAACTTACTTATCAGATTCCTCTCAAGAACATTTAGTATGCTGGAACCAGTGGCTACAATTTAACAACACCCTCAACATAATGGAATCCATCTTTCGTAACATTCATAACTGTCATAATGCATAATTCATTAAATTATCAATTATAATAAGAATTTATAAACTGTTATAATCTAGTCAATTATTTTATAAAAAACAATATAGCTGCTACCAGTCTGCATTTTATTCTCAGAGCTAGTCTGGACTTGGTGACATAAAGAAAAATAATTGTCCTTGCAGGAACCAAACTCTGGTTATCCAATCTGCAGTTGGTCACTTTACTGACTGATCTAACCCAACTCTTTGCTGTAGAAACTACCACAAGAATTACAGTTACCTTTATACAATCAATCAATCTACGTAAAATGTACAGAAACATGCCAAATTTAGCTTCAAACTAACATTACAAAATGAGGTATGTACATCACAACCTATATGAATGGTTATGTGGCAACTATTCGACAGAATGTCTTGCTATCTCACCTCAGCATTCTCTTTAATGGCCAGAGAGTTCAGAGCTCTCAGAGGCTATGTCATAATATGAAAGCAATACAGTGACCACAACACAGAAACATTCAGAAGATTCCAATTTGTGGAATCAGTGGTATGCAGAGTCCTGAAATAGATCTATGAGGCTAAATGAATAGAGTACAGTTACATTTTATGGGAATTTGAATTATGCAAATATGAAATAGTGCAATATAAAAATATTAATGAAGTCTCACTTTATGCGTAAAGTCTGAAATAATGTGAGTCCCTAAAAATTCAGCAAAATTATGCATTTGTTTCGAAACTTTTCTTAAATTATGCGAGTTTTGAATTATGACAGGTATTCAGGAATGTATCCCTTGCATAAAATAAGACCACACTGTTTTATATTGCACTCTTATGACTTATGTGAAGTAATAGTTTCTCATGGCAGTCATTATGAAGACTACTATCTCCTGTGATGTTACATCATGTTCTTTGGTAGAAGTTTACCTATGTTTTGATAAACTTCGAACCTGAAGATGGAAGTAGTATGATCCAATAAAACATCTGTATATTTCTACCAGACTACATGGTGTAAAATCCCAGAAAATAGAACTCTTCTCTTTCTCACTTACTTTGGTAAGTTGTTCTGGAGTAACTTCACAGCATACTCTCGTAGATAGCGTTGAAAAGTGGTAGCAAGACCTAGCATGGGTTCTCCTGTACTAAGCTGTGTACACTGTACCATGCACTTCTTGTAAAACATAAACAGATCAGCACATGAAGAAAGAACCATACCAGAACCCTCAGAAGAGAGACTGGCAGCTGTATTTGACTGCTGCTTGGCATCGTCAACAAATCTCTCTATCAGCTCTGCCAGATTTCTACAAATGAACAACAAACTTAACAGCAATACATCAGAGTCGCGTCTTGTCAACTATGGAGATTTCATTCCTGACATTAGATGCAGTTGGCAAAATGAGGTCCTCTAAGGGGTGAGAGGAAGTGTTATTTTAAAGATACACATAAAGGCCTATAATGTTGTGTTCACAGTTAAGAACAAAGGTTTACCGACACACGAGTTTGAAGTTATAATAAGTTTTCTGACAGCTCAGACAAAGCTACTCACAAGAAAAAGGTCATTAAATATGAGAGAGGGGTGCCCATTTGCATATAATGACACTGTTGCCAAAATTAAACACAGCTGTTTGGAGATCTACTGATATGCAAGATTGAATACTATGGCTGATAGAATTATCTGTGTATATTCTAACTCATTTTAGTGCGAGGGGAGATATGCAACAGTATGGGATGCACTGACATATGAACTGATGCAGTGCAGGAGTTTCAGTTGATGAATAATTGCCTGAACATGGCCTTGTAAGGTCGAAACATGTTGCAATTAAATGTAATATTAATGACATCTTAAAATAAATGAGAGATTGTGAAAGGTTTGTGTTGCATTAGAGACAGAAATGAGTGAATGAGTGATACATCAATGCAAGAGGATGGTGAAATATAATATTATATTCTAATCAGTTTTGAAATTTGCCAACATAGTTTCTTTCCAAAATGCCAAAGATCAAGTTTCTTTGAATGACTGTCAAACACAATTTCTTATTTTGCAAGAAAAAACAGAAATTGCAAGTACTGTATCTGAAACTGATATCCTCAGGAATACACATGAACCTAAGAGAGCTGAAGGAGGTAAGCCACTTAGGACACTACATAGTTGGAAACATCACAATCTCTCTGTGTCACCTAATACTGAGAAGAATATGAGATCCAGGAGGTTGTGATATTCTGGACATGTCACTCAGGTTGGAAAGATAAGAAATGTATATAGAATTTTGATCGGGAAATGTCTTGGAAGGTGGCCAGTTGAAAAAAAAAATAAGATGGGAGGATAATACTTAGATTAATCCTATGAATAATGGCTGTGAATGTGGGAAGTGGATGAAGTTGGCCCTGGTATCAGGAGTGATGAACATGTAAAAATTAAATTACAAGGAGCAAAAACTGGTATTTATGTGAGTAAAATACAAGAAAATTAAGGGTGGTATTCACTAGGAACACTATCACAGAAAAAATTAAAAGGAAGAGGAATCATGAACTTATTTTAAGGCATTGTCATTGAAGTAGATCGATGGTTTATAGAAAAAATCAAATGGTCCATATTTCTATGAAAGTTAACAGGCATTAAGTTTACAAAACTGTTAATCATTCATACTTCTCATCAAACAATTATAAAGTTACAAGTAGTTTCAATGCATTTAACCACTCATGATATTCCTTGACTGAGAAGCCAAAAGAAAGAAAATATTTTTAAAAATACGGTACCAGCAACTCTTAAGGGCATTCATCAGTTATTTTCATAAATAATATTAAAGATCAGGAGTAAGCAGACTTAAGATTGATGGAAAGAGGAAGGCTAGATGCGCAGTAACTAAGACACACAGTAAAGACACTGAAATACAAAAGCGTGGATGGAGATGCAGATAAACAACAAACAGAAAGATAAGACAGATACAGTACACAGCTAAAAAGATGATGCAGATTATGCACACACTGTGGATCCTAATGACTAGGCTGTTAGCACAAGTCAAGGTAATATATAGACTCTTAAAATAATTACAATTTAAGAACACTGGATGTTAGTATCAAGTTCCATTCCATGTTTGGTCATATTTCTTCTTCATTTTTTTGCATGTGATTTACATATCGATTGTTTGAAACCTGTTTTAAATTACACCTACATCAAAATGGTAAATTAATTTTAGTCAAGGGAATGTTCTCTCCATAAAGCAGTCATAAGAATTTCTATTCATGGGCCATTGTTCTATACAATTCCAGCTCTGTTAATGACAAAATATGATTTCACCCACCTGTCTAAACTCCCAATATATATGTACAAGTATGGTTCAAAGCACTTTCCAATAATACCATGGAAAGGTGAAAGTTTAGATTTTGCTGCTATCTGTGAAGGACTGCATTCATCTGTCTTTTCCATATCCCCTTCAAAGGGGTTGGGTGACTGTCCATCAGATTCTGAACTCTCAAATGGATTTGTGGATGGCGGTACCTAAAGCAAGAGATGAACATGACATAAGCTGCGAGTTACTGGTACTCAACACAGTTCCTTAACATTTACAGGAAACATAAGGACTCAAATATCACAAAGTTCTGGCTCAATAAGTATCCATTACCATATTCATATGAGGACATCTATACTGTGGGACCCAATACGTAAACTTGTTCCCCATCACCATATATTTAAGTAGATCAGAAACAAACTGAGAAAGCTGGTTCGAGCAGTAACACTTCTTATCTGTATTAGGAAGGTGTCCAGTTCAAATCTTAGCTAGGAAGTAACTATCCCAGGGGTTTTCATAGTCTTCTTCTGTCACTCCAGGTAATGCCAAGCTAGTACCTTAAATTAGGCTAAGGATGCTTCCCTCATACTTTTTCTAATTCATTATTCACTGTCATAGAGTCATTTGGCATCACACAGTCTAAGTTAACACTGTGTTGCTAAATACACTATAAATAAAATAAAGACATTAGAAGAAGGTACTACTCATATGTTAAGAGGGGCCAGCAAACACCATGGAGAGATAGCAGCAAGGAATTAACCACAAGATGCAGTATGTCACAAGAAGGTATAAAGCGTGAAAGAGCAGAGGGAAATATTTACCTATGATCTACTCCAGCATCTAGTGATGAATAATATAAAGTACTCTCTTGGATTTCAGGTTCTCACAGCAGAGACTATGCAGAGTATGGCCTTCTGCATTGTAACTTTGAGTAGTTCAGAGAAAGTCTGATATTTCAGAGGAACATATCACCTCTGTCTTTAGGGTTGATGAATAAGCCAAGCAAGGAACCAATAGAAGTAATGCTTGCCACCTGCTCCTCTTAATACAAAGTATTGTATCAAACTATTATTCTGGATTTTGTTAATCATCTAAGTTTATTAAACTCCAAAATAATATTTTCAAAAACAAAAGCTATAAACTTACTGAAAGTGAATACAATAGTTACAAGACCTAGTCAATACAAACACAAATATAAACTGGCAAGGCTATCTATAAACATCTGCATGGATGTGCTTCATACGAATGCAATATTTCTGGCAGATCTCCAGGCTGAATCTGATCAACATATCATGAGAGCATAACTGGCAACCCACTTTTAGTTCCATGAAGAGCTCAATTCTTTGGGTGTTTGAAGTTTTGGTGGTTGTTAAAGCCTTTGAGCATGGCCAAAGTACATACCTGTGCCAGTATTTCTGTTTCACCAGGCAGTGCTGGTATCAAAGTTAATAAGCACATAAAATTTTATGTTAGTAATCTGAGAGTAACTTAAATATTCATATTTTAAATAATCATGATCATCAATATCAAGGTTTGGATCTTTTGGTAAATTCTGTTCCTCTATAACAAAGGTTATTCCATCTAATGGATCATATTCATTTGGGTGTATAGTCCGGTAACTGTTTTGGAATGCTTCCAGGTTCCATTCTTTCAACATGATGAATTCAATTAAGTATATTATTTAGAATTATAGTGTTTAAACTGAGTACATTTAGGTTGTTCCTAATCACTGTATTTATAATTTGATCTTTTAACATGTATCCTGCCAAACTAATAAGAAATTTTGTTTCAGCTATTTCTGTCTTTTGCTTCTGCTTTTTTATTAATGACCATGTTTCGGAGTTGTACGAGTATGCTAATGTTCGGATAGTCATAGTTTTATGAAGCATTCTGGCATATGGAACCGTTGCTGGGCAGAGACTGCAAAATGGATGAGTACTGCCACTGCTAAGGGGCACGTGGTAGCGTAGTTGGTTGAGGGTCTATGCTACAAGCCGGAAGGTCGTGGGTTCAAGTCCCGATGAGGTCACTGGATTTTTTTTCAATTGACCTAATCCTCCCAGCTGCACTATGGCCCTGGGGTTCACTCAGCCTTTAACAGAAATGAGTACCAGGAATTAATTAAATTATTTTCCTGGGGAGTAAAGTGCGGCCGGCGCGTAAGGCTGACAACCTTACTGCCATCTTTGAGCTGACTATCTAGAAAATGTGGGACCCTCAACGTCCCACAACCCTATGGGCCTTCATGGCCTGGTACAGGGATAGCTTTACTTTTTTTTTTACTTTTACTGCCACTGCTATGCAATAGGCAGACAAACACCTGCTTCTAAGTAATGGTTGGCAAACATGTTCTCGTGGAAATGACATCCAGTCTACCATGAGGCAAAAGCCATGACAACAGTAGAAGAATTGTTGGAGGCAGTGTTTTTTGTTGGGTCCTCCCTAAGGTTATACTTGTATAAAGAGCACACTAGCAGATCTGAAGTTAGAGGTATCAGCAGTTGAGTTGAGTGAAGTGACATGAAGTAGCTGGATGGTGTGTAAGGGAGTTGAAGTTGTCAGTTGTCAGTTAAAAGTCAACATGTGAAGAGAAGACTAGGAGGTTGGTGGGAAATGGCTGCCAGCCTGGGAACCAGTTAGCTGAGTTGTCAGTTGACAAAGAGTTCTGCACAGGCAGCTGTGACAAGAAAACCTGAGCGTGGGAAGCTGAAGAATCTCCCGGCGTAGAAACCATTGCCAGGAAACACTTAGTGAGGACTGTAATAGACTGAGGACAATAGTCTATGTAAGTGGTCTGTGAAGTGTAGTTCAGAGTATTGTATACAAGTGGTCAATAAATCCAATATCCAATCCATACCCTGTCTACAGTCACACAACCCCAAATATGTGACAGAATTTTAAATAATACTGCATAAAATTAAAATGATTTTACTAGATGCAAATAGTACATGTGTAAGGTAAGGTAAAAGAAGCTGTTGAGAGAATTTAATAAACAGGTACAAGAAAGGAGTCATAAATTTTTCCAAAAGACAACAGGTCCAACTACTTCACCAAAAGTACATTCATTCATTCAGTACCATAAATTCAAGAATCCGTAAGTCTCACAATTCAAATACAGGATTACCTGAGACTTTTTCCTTTCTGAAGATGTAATGTTGTCTGAAGGGTCCTCTAATGTTACACCAGTAAAACGGGTAACCAAAAGTTTCTCAAAGTCGCTAGTATGTCGAATTGCATAAAGCAATAGCTTCACATCCAATTCTGATTTGCGTTTTGACATAAGCTTTGACAATTCAGACCTGCTCATGGAAGAAAATTTGGTCAGACACACTTCATATTAAACTTGCAAACTTGTATTATTATATGATGGGGCATAATAGCACATGGTCATGAATTGTGACTCAAATTTGGCATAGTCAAAATCAGTTAAAGCAAATGTCACACTGCCTTACAAGTTAATTCTTGAAGAGTACTATCTTCTGGGATATAACCCAGTGTCAACCGACGTTTCAGACGAACATCCTGCCTCCATCTTCAGGGTGAAATAAGTTGAGCAAGATACCAGCATGAAAACAGGTGGCAAGCCAAGTGACTGACCTGACTTTCAATGGACTACACAACACTATATCCCAGAAGAAAGTACTCTTCATAACCACCGCTGCAAGAACCTCAAATCCTACAAGTTAACTTTCAGCTCCAGGCTTCAAGGACACTATACATACAAAGGTTACCACACCATTTTTTTTCTCCAAATTTCAGTCTGAATTTAATTTTCCCAAGTCATTAAATCATGGATAACTGGATGGCCTAGATATGGGAAATAGGAGAAACATATACAAATTTTTAAGTGGAAAACCTGTTGGAAAGGAGCCATTTGGAAATGCTGGTATAGAAGAATGGCTTGGCTCCTGTGAACTCGGTAAGAAGATGCAGGTTCAGTAACAGTGGGGAATCTCAACAGTGGCACTTGACACAAACTTTATCATGGCCAATCATACAGATCTTGATGAAATAATGATTACAGGTGTTGGTACAGCAATTTAAAAGAACAACTATTTGACAAAAGATAGCATAAATGTAAACATCATGAAAACTGGAATTATAAAATGTTCTCAAATCCCAAGCAGTTAATACCACAAAGAATAATGCTTTAATATGAAAATCTGCAAAATCTAAAAACTGTGTTAAAGAGGAGTACCCACCTGACAGCATGAGGAAATGTCTGGAATATTTCCATTATGACACATTCTATGTTTCTGTTTTTATACAAACAAGGTAAATTGGCAACATGCATTTTTATGTCATGCTACCGGTATACCAAAAGAACTTTAAAGTGCTGTAACACACTATTCCATTAAATAATTTGGACATTAGGAAGGATTTAAATTCCGTATAAACAGAAAATATCATGTATGTAACTGCCTTCTAAAAGAAGTTATTGAAGGAAAGATAGAGGGATGGATAGAAGTGACCAGAAGACGAGGAAGAAGACATAAGAAGATGCTGGACAACCTTGGGGACAGAAGAGGATATTTTCATTTGAAGGAGAAAGCTCTAGATCACATCAAGTGGAGGAACTGTTTTGGAAGAGACTGTAGACCTGTCGTCTTGACAGATTACAGATGAATGAATGATTAGCCTGATGTACAAATTTCATTTATTAAATAATTACTTTCATCAGAAGTAAGTGATAATTTACTACAGTGATCATCAGTCGCTTTCAGACATCCAATAAGACATAACATAAACTACATGCTACAGCATCTTATTTAAAGAATTGACAATTGTTCAGTTAAATACGGAATTCAGTTATACGAGGCTCATCCACAAAGTAAGTTTCCCTGGGGCCGTTTACAGAAACAAAATATAATTTCATGGAAATGTTTATTGCAACAGATACAGCAAATGTTCAGCTATTTTTCAACATAATCACCACTGAAACTGAGACATCTGTCATACCGTGGGACCAACTTTTGAATACCTGTGTCATAGAAGTCTGCCGCCTGGGATTGGAACCACTGTGTGACAACCATCTCCATCTCTCTGTCATTCTCAAAACGCTGACGCTCACCGGACAGGAATTTCTTGAGGTGTAGGAAAAGATGGAAATCACTGGGAGCGAGGTCCGGGCTGTAGGGTGGATGATTAAACACCTCCCAGCTGAAATCCTGCAGGAGACTTGCTGTCCGTCGAGCCGTGTGCGGCCTAGCGTTATCGTGCAGGAAGACAATACCGGCACTAAGCATCCCACGCCGCTCGTTCTGAATGGCCCGTCACAATTTCTGCAGTGTTTCACAGTAACGCTCAGCATTCACCGTCTCACCTCTGGTCAGGAAGTCGACGTGTCCCAGAATACCGTGCACATCACTTTCCATGCCAACGTCTGCTTGAATTTTGTCTTACAGGGAGATCCACTGTGACCCACCTGGCGCACAATTTCCTGAACAACAGGTGCTCCATGACAATTTCGAGCAACAAGGTGCGGGAAATCTGCGGGACATGACTTCTGAGTTCCACAATTGTGACGGGACGATTCTCCATAATGCGTTCCCGCACAAGTTCCACCAGGTCGTCTGTAATGATGGATGGCCGCCCACTGCGCTTCTCATCATGCACACTTTGTCGACCTGCTGAAAATTGTCTGCACCAGCAACGTACCATCTGCTTGCTCATGACGTTAGGCCCATACACCCGGCACAGCTGACGATGAATTTCGATCAGCGCTATGCTCTGTGCATTCAAAAACTTTATCACTGACCGCACTTCACAGTTGGCAGGAATTGGAATAAGAGCCTCCATTTTCAACAGCTGCAACAATGCTACTGTGGGAACGCGGGAAATTCCGTCTGTGCATGCGCCATGCTGCGTCATTGCTCTATCACGTACGTGCAGTCGCTTCACGCAATATAAGGTTTGCTAGCTGTGGGATGAGTGGGAAACTTACTTTGTGGATGTGCTAGATAGAACCTGAAGGTCCATTTCCACGATCACAAAAGCCCCCACTGGACCCTATCTTGAGTCAGTTCAATCCAGTTCATATCTACAAAATGTACTTCACAGTATTCCATTTCAGCATTAAAACTTGATTTGTGCCTACATCTCTTAAGTGATCTGTTTCTTTTATAGGACTTCTTAATGAAAGTTTGTATATGTTTCTTGTCTTGGGACTTTGAACTTCAACCTTCAAGGAGCCAGTTATCTTCTTCTCCCCAGCATACTACATGTTCTTCCTATCCCAACCTTCTTGGACCAGTCATCCTAACAATACTGGGTAAAGAGCATATAAAGGAAAATTAAACCAGAGATGTGGACCATACACTTTGAACATTACAGTCCTTTCATTCCATGTCTAAAAATACATGAATCATACCTTGTAATGTTGCAAAATTCCACAGTGATCCTCTCTGAAAGTTCCCAGTCTGGTGGGAACATAGGTCCAAATTTATCCTCAAACTCTAACAAATGTTTCTTGAACCATACATATCGTCGGTTAATTTTATCCAGCCAAGCTGTGTCCTCTGTTTCTTGGAACAGGTGACAGTATTCTGCTAGCTGGAGTCCAATGAACCACTTTAACAAATCACGCCTAAAAGAATATATCATACACAATTACATCAGGCAATAAGGGAGAATTATAAGTTCCCTCCACAGCACCTACTACTGAAACCAGAAGATATTTGTGTGTGAGAATACATGACAATGAGAATAGTTTGATGAAGGAAAGAGGGATGGAGTAAATTATATAACAATACACATAACCAAGCATTTTAAATCAGGGAGGTTATATGGTAAGGCATGTATCATGCAACTGGACAGCCCAAGATATGCACAGACTTCTGGTCTGTAAGCCTCATAACATGAAACCAATTAGGAGATCTAGGAAAAAATATTTACAACTAAGAAAAAGTCAAAATATTTGGAAGGAAAAAATCCACTATGAAAATTCAGAATTCAGTAGCCTAATAAAGCATTCATTCATACAGACCAACTCACTTCACTTTAGGATCAAGCACAGACACGACAAGACATGCTTCTGCCAACTGCCTATTGGGAGTAAAGTGCCTGGCATTTGACGCAGAAAAAGCTTCATGGAAATCTGAAGTTATCTGCTGAGCAAGTTCAAAATGAATCTGATGAACCTGAAACAAGTAAAAGAGAAAACTTACCAAAATTTCTGTATGTTACAATCAAATCAGTAGCTAGGTCTAACTTCAGTTCTTTATATTGTCGCATGTAGGGTGGTACATACGACGAAATGAAGGGCTCTAGTTTGGATTGCTGGATTTATTGGCACTTCAGTTACAACCTCTTTTAATTAATTTAATTTAATTTAATTAATTACACAATTTACTGTTCACCATTGCACACACACTAGGATTCTCTGTCTTCACTAGTTGTCTCTTAGCAATGGATCTCAACACAGACACCATCACAGCAAATCACTATGAAGATTTCTTGTCTTCAATCAGTCTGTACTCCTCTGTCATAATCTGTACTCAACTAATCTTCACAATTCATGATCCATTCTCGCCCTTGTACTCTCAACTGCTGAAACCTCATGGGCTCTCCAAACTAATCTTCTCGGTCTATTTCCACTAGTCTTCACTAGTTCCAATTCCACTCATGTGCTTCCGCTGCTACTATTTCTCTCTCGTAACTGCCCCCAACTGAACTAATTGTCTTGAACTTGAACCTGAACTCTCCACTCATAGTTCCAGTTCACTCTCACTGTCACTGAACTGTCACTATCACTCTGAACTTCAAAGTCAAAGTCAAAGTTACTTTACAACTGGTGGTTTACCGCCAACCAGTTCGTCTTGGCATCTGGCCCCTTGAGGCCCACAACCAGGGATGTTTCTTTCCAATTGAACTCTTGAGGTAATAGTCCTTATGTAACAACCTCTCTGATAGAAAATGGGTTTGTCTCTTATGAATATGCTTGGCTTTTCATCAAGTGAACTCTGAACTTACATCTAACAGCTCTCGTTATATAGCCGCAGCACATATCACATAGAAAACAGTCTATCTATTGTTGAGGTTTGTTTGCTGAGCTGTTGCATAGCAACAGTGTTTGTGTACAGGTAGAAGCCTTGCAACAAGCTGATCACCCGCCCAAGGAGTCCTACCAAATATCTAAGATCTAGTAAACCGAAGTGAAAAAGAGAGTTTCATGGAGGTAGGCCAAGGCCCAAATTGAGGTTGAAGTGCCAAGGGGGGGGGAACAAATTTTGATCAAGCATACTTACACTCTGAGTTATTATATAACAAATTTGTATATGCCATCTGACAGCGTCTTATGTGAATTCCATATGATTTCAGTTTCATCCAGCTATCTCCATTACTATTAGAGATCTATTAGAGATACAATGTTTTGTATCATTTAATGCTTCTGTCACTGATGTGAAAACACCCAGCACCACACAAATGTCAGAACACTGTCTTCAAAATCACTGTGCTATAAGACAAAATACTAAATAATTTTACTTGTGTTAAAAAGACCTATAGTTACAAAAAGTTTCATTGAAATACAAGGTGGATCAGAAACTTACTTTCATATTGTCACATGCTGGGTATGTCACATGACAAACAACTTCACGTGGGTCTCAGATTTAGTGAATCTCTATTGGACACTCACACTTACACACCATATAATTATTATTGCTTGCCGTATCACTTGACTTCTGGCCCAGTACTCCAATGTGATGTTTCAAATATCTTTGGCCGTGGTTTGGCTTTTTGAAGACTGTCTTCTTGCTGTCTGTAGCTCTAAGCTTATGTAGGTGTTTTGTGGATTGGATACCAGACATCATTCCTTATGGTTCCATTGCTATTCTATCGACAGTCTGCTGTTACGCAATGAGTCTTTGGTTGTTCATCTCCGTGGAGATTCGGCGTTCTCTACCCAACGGCTGTTGTTGTGTTACCATGGAACTGTCTATTCCAAACATGTTACATTATATTTATTTGTCAGATCATGCACAAAAACAGTATATTACACAATCAGGATTGTAATCCACATTAAAGTCTCTTTTCCACATAACTGCACTGCACAATGAAGCATTTATCCCACCAGTATACAACTTTATTGATGCCATCTGGGAAGAAGTGTTTCATTAACCTGAAGTCTTGCTTTTGTTGCTTTCAAGACCTCAAAATCTGGTTTGAATTTGTAAGTCGCAAAATGTTTATTAAATGGCCCAAAGAGGTAGTATGCACCTGGGACCAGTTCAGAACTGTACAGTTGATGATGCAGTAACACCAAACTAAACTTTTGGAGGCAGTTCACAGTTCATTAAAGTAATTTCTGAAATCCAACACATACAAAGAAAAAAAAAACACCACAAACTTTTGGCAAAAATTTATTGATTTTGTATGGAATAGTAAACATGCAGAAATTGTTACTGATCTTTCAGCACATAACATTATTCATGCAAAATAAACTATGCTGGGAAAAAAAAAAAATTGCAATTTAACACATACAAAGTGTTGTGACTATCATCTGATAGTCATATTGAATAATTCAGCTGTATGAATGTCAGTAACCAATTCTGCTTTCATTTATATAAAAAGTGTACCTGATCTGCAAGCTGTTTGATCTGCGGAATGTCCATATAGTTGTGAAAGTGCTTCATTACTTCCATTACTGCTTGAAGGGGCATCACAATCTCACCATACTGGCGTCTCTTGGTTAGTATTCTAATGAAAATAAAAAAGAGCAACCGAAGATTCAGATCAGCAGAGATTGCTTTTGTTTCAGAACAACTCCAAGCTATTGCCTATCATTCAAATTATAAAAACTTACCGTAAGTCATCCACACCACCTACAAGCATGTGCAGATGATTCAGTGTGGTAATTGCAGCTGTAAGATTGCGCTTGGCACAATCTAACTGCTTGATGTCACGTGTGATTTCCTTCACCATCTCCTCTGATTGTTCTGCTTTTGCCTTGATGTCTGCAATGTGCACAAATAACTGACGAATAACTCGCTGGGCTTCTTCCAAAGCTGTACGGCCATCCTACAAAAGGAATTAGGAAAATGCAATGTAAATCCCAGAACATTATATTTCTGATTCATGTTGTGGTGGTTTGACAGACTTGTTATACTCATACCTTCATACAACAACCAATGTTGTACTCGTACATAAATAATTTTTTTATGTACAATATGATTTTATTCTTCCTTCGGGGCTATATGCTCCAACTCTGTTGGGTAACTATGAGGCCACATACTAATCCCACAACCTACTATTATATTTTAGCATCCCATTGCATTGAGGCATCAGCCTATTTTTTTTTTAACTATCATATCCGTCAATAATTAAACTTTAAAAAGACATTAGGAATATGTTGTTCACTAAAAATGTATTTTAATACCATGACAGTTCAAATCAATAAAATGCCCGTAGGTCTTTACGTAGTACATAAATTTACACATTAAAAGTGAATGTTCACACTCCTCAAATTGTCTTGGTTTTACATATATTTTTACTAATTTATATTCACAACAAGTTTCAGCCTCATTGGGCCATCATCAGGTGAATTCTATCCTTCAGTGAGACCACTGCACTGTATTTGTTTCTCGTGCATGAGAGAAGCCCAATGAGGCTGAAACTTGTTGTGAATATGGATTAGTAAAAATATATGTAAAACCAAGACAATTTGAGGAGTGTGAACATTAACTTTTAATGTGTAAATTTATGTATTATGTAAAGGCCTACAGGCATTTTATTCATTTGAACTGTCATAGTTTTAAATGCATTTTTAGTGAACAACATATTCCTTATGTCCTTTTAAAGTTGTATTATTGACGGATGCGTTAGTAAAAAAAAATGCACAATCTACTAATTACTGCTGCATTTTAAGTAATTAGAAGGAAAGTCAAGTATATAATTAAATTAAAATTGAAATGTTACACATGCAAGCGCACACACAAGCATACACAAACACACGTATATATCTACAAAATACTCATGAAGAGACTGTTTAATTCTTTAATTTTCTGCTTCTCTGTAATCTCAATTGTTCTGATGTTGTTATCGTTGCACAAGGCAATGTTGGGATTTTTCTTTCCTGGGGTGGGGTGGGACTGAGTCCACTTGGTACATTGGCCACTAACTGGTCTATTGTACAGAGCATTCAATCATCGAGGAAACCAGAGGAGCAGCGTGAGTCGAATACAACATTTCTTAGATTGCTACTGTAACTGCCGATAGCGGAATGAGTTATCAGCGCTGATAAACGCTTTTCACTATGTGATGGCACTTGCTGTATAGCGTGAGGATTTTGCAAGCATGATTAGTTCAACTGCCATGGATCAACTTCAGAAAGTGTAGTATAATTTATTTATGCGATGCGAAGCATGTTTGCAAGCAGAAGGGAGTCACTTCCAACACCTGTTATAAAGCATGGTAAGTCTGTTATCTTTTTACAGTATTCCTATAAATGTGTGCATGTACAGAAATTTATGTGACGAGACTGCACTCTTGCTAGCAGGGAGGGGCACAGTAGTTGTGGAGAAACGATCCATCTGCTTCATTCTGCTATCGGCAGTTACAGCAGCAATCTGTGAGAAATGCTGTATCCGACCCATGCTGCTCCCCTAGTTTCTTCGATGGCTGAACACACTGTACCAGCCCTGGATGATAGACGAATCTGGAGCATTTCGTGGAATGAGAATTGGCAGGGGAAACCGAAGTGCTTGGAGGAAAACTACCCCAGTGCCACTTTGTCCACCATAAATTGCACGTGACTTCACCTGGGATCAAATCCAGGCTGCCAAATTCTAGTTTAGTTTGACAGGATTAGCTGTGAAGATGGTATCCTACATTACAGAACAAAGGCTGTTTACAGTGAAAACGTTTCTTAAATTCTGGATGTGTCATGCAGTGCAAAGAAATTACTGACAACAGGAATCAATTGTTGCCTCAATGATTTTTTTCACATGATGAAGCAATGTCACATACTGCTAATGCTGTTCTAGACATTTCAAATACTTATTTTTGTGACTTATAAATTGTCAACAGCTAACCTGGTCAATTAGGAAGAGGGTGGTACTCGTATTCACCACCATACACTCCAAATATTAATCACTGTGATCATTTGTTGTGGGGCTTTCTTAATGAATCAATTAACATTGCAATCATCCTTAAAATTCTGCAGATCTGAAAAGTGAAATATGCAGTCACCAAAAATATTTGCATTGAGGCAGACAATGCAAAATTTCATTGTCGATAAAAGCTGTACTGCTGAGGTGGAGGGTGACATACTGAGCAGGTTTTGATAAAACATCAAGAACAGTAGTGGATGTATTGAGGGCATGCACTACAACATCTAACCTTCATGTTAAGTAACCGTGGTTTATTTCTATAAGAGTTTGATTAAAAGTTCTCTAAAATCAAAAATGGCCAGTCCTTTTGTGAAGACTCCGTAGTTGCTTAAAAGTGTTGTTATAGTTTATCATTATACAATGATAATTATTATTTTTAAAAGATGTTTAGATTATATTTGTTATATTAGATGATACATAAATGATGTAAGATGAAATTAAAACAAAATCAGCTATTTTCAATATTATTATCCACAGAAATATATATATATATGACAACAAAATAAAACATTAATCTCAAACAAATGTAATACATAACATACTTGTATTTTAAGAACAGTTAACATCATATAATCAGTAACCGTATAGAATGTACAGCCACCGCTATGCAATGTTCAAGAAATGGGTGGCTACATCAGACATGTTTCTGGGCAAAGGTTTGGTAAACATATTCCCACAGCAACGGGAAAAATGGTGTGCTGTCTATGCAGTCCACACCGAAGTGTTATAAAGAAGAGAGCTGAGGGTTGGCACTTCAGTTGGGTTCTGCAAGGGATGCTGAGAGAGGTGGTGCTACAGTTAGGTTGACAGCTGACAAGAGTTCTGCAGAGCAGCTGTGACAAGTGGATCTGAGCACATGACACCAAAGAATCTCCACTGGTAGAAGCCGTTGCCAGGACGAAGACTGCAATAGACTGAGGACACTAGTCTGTGTAAGTAATCTGTGAAGTGTAATTCCAAGTGTTGCATACAAGTGGTCAATAAATCCGATATCCAATCCATACCCTGTCTACAGCCACACACCCCCAAATATGTGACAGAATTTTAAATAATACTGCATAAAATTAATACGACTTTACTACATACAAATACATACTCACAGCAGGCTGCAAAAAACTGGCAGGGGCTGTGGTGATTTGTAAAGCATGGAGATTAGTGACAGCACCGTAATTACTTGTAGTTCCAAGTGGTGTAAATGGTCAATAAATCCATTCACCAATCCATAACCCATCTATAGTTACACCCCTAAATCACAGCAATATAAATTGCATGATTGATCACTATACTGTAATAACAAACTATAACAAGAGTTACATGAAACTGGATCATAATGTAACACATACTTGTATTAAAAAAGGTAAAGCTATCCCTGTAACAAGCCGTGAAGGCACATATGGGTGTGAGAGGTCGAGGGTCCTACATCTTCTAGACCAGGCATGTCCAACTTCAAACAGGTTGTGATCGACTTTTTAGTGTCAAAACTGTCAGTGATCCATCACTCCCTCCTATCGTCATACTTCGCTTTAAGCAAAAATATTGGTAAAACTAACACGACACATGATGTTTGATGTAAAAGCAACTAATAACTGGGCTGTGTCTCTGATGTCTGTAGATTCATCCAGTTGGAGAGAAAGCAACACAGTTGGAAACATCTTTAAAAAACTGTTCAGTTATGTTTCCACACATCATTTCTATTCGCTGCACAATGGTGTTTCTTGATAATTGAAGATCTTGAATAGTAGCCATAATCTCTTTTTTATTTTATATTACAAGTGAATATACATGCTTTTGACGTATAATTTCCTTATAGGCCTATGAGATCGACTAAAAATCGTCCTGCGATTGACTGGTCGATCACGATCAACACATTTGACATGCCTGTTCCAGACAACTGGCTCACAGATGGTGGTAATCTTGTCAGCCTTATGCACCCACCGCCCTTTACATTCCAGGAAGACACCTGGTACTCATTTCTGTTAGAGGCTGAGTTGATGCCTGGACTATATTGTGACTGAAAGGATTAGGTTAATTGAAAAATTCAATGACCTCATCATGAATCAAACCAGTGACCTCCCAACTTGTAGCATAGCGCCTCAACCAACTACGTTACCACGTACCCCATTGTAATGAATATGTAATATAGTACTAATACAAAGAAATAAATTAATAACATATCTTATTTTAGTAACCTTATTTTAATTTCATTATCTATTTGACTTGCACCTAATTAGTATAAATATGTAAAATGTATCATGGGTATATGTATTTATGGCCTGATGATTACCCAGTAGTGGGATCTCAGGTTCTCACAACAATGGTTATGAAGAGTTCCATCTTCTGGGATATAATGCCGTGTAGTCTGCTGAAAGCCAGCCTTAGTTTCAGAATGATATGCCACCTCCATATTCAGGGTCAAAAAATAAGACAGGTAAGTACATGGAGTCAAAACAGGTGGCATTTTTCAACCCAGAAGATGGAGGTGGTATGTTCCTCCAAAATGTTGGTTGACTTTCAAAGAATTACATGGCTTTATACCTCAGAAGACAGAACTCTTCATTGCTCAATCGGGTTGAAACATATAACCTAGAAGGAAAAATATAATCATACTGTATATAAAAAAATAAGTTTATACACAACATTACTTGTGTGGAAATGGTGCAGTATAACTAATCTATAACTCTCAGACTTCCTAAATTCTTTCTCATACTCCATAGTAATCTTCAAATTCACACACAAATTATATGTAGACTACTGGCATAAACATTTTAGTAACAGGGTGGGGATTCTTCAACTATACCTGCCCAACATTCGTCTGTCCTCGAACAACAGTTCGAATTTCATCATCTATGGTATGAATCTTACATTCCATGCTGTTGACCACATCATCGATATTTGAAAGAGACTGTTCGGTTGGAAACAGAGAATTGATATAGTCAACAGCATTAAAATCTGGTTGGTCAAGTGGGTCATTACTTGGCAGAACCTAAAATGAAAAAGAAAATGAATGATTATCTGGGTCACTTTCATATTTGGCATTATATACAGTGGAAAATAATATTTACTGCATACATATTGTGTGTTGTACTTCAGAACAATGCAAGGAATCATTGTACATTTACAGAATATGAAATAGGTTCAGTGATATGTTAGGGGGTAAAAGTAAACTCCGTTACATTTAACACCAAAAACATATCTCTGACAGTCTCAGACGTAGAGAGAGCAAAAGAGGGTGGATGCGATCTATAGTTTATGGCTACAAATAATAAAATGACAGGTGGGTAAATGTGTTCTATGGCCGTGTCATATCTCAAGCAGTTAGTCGCTGGCTTCCCACCGCGACGGCCCGGGTTCGATCCCGGGTCTGGTCAAGTGGGATTTGTGGTGGACAAAGTGGCGCTGGAGCAGGTTTTCTCCGAGTACTTCGGTTTCCCCTGCCAATCTTCATTCCACTAACTGCTCCACAATCACCCTCACCTATCATCTGGGGCTGGTACAATTGGCCAGAAGTGGCCGCAGTACATGGGACTTAGTCCCAACCCACTAGCAATAAAAAAATGCGATCTATAGTTTACGGCTATAAATAATGCTTGATTTCATACCCCAGTATAATGAACACAGTGCACTTTGGGATGTGACAGAACTCAACGAGACTGAAAACGTGTCAAACTATGGAAAAACGTAAATAAAACAAACGTTCAAATCATAAACAAGCATATACGCCGAAAACCTGTCAAACTATTAAAACATAACATACATGAATGTAAATAAAACGAAAATCCAAATCATGTACAACCACAAACGTTATTTTACATTTTCATTCTTTCAAGTTGCCGTAAATTTGCCTTAATACAAAGTCCAACAACACATTTTCAGGTTAGAAAATAGTTATATCAGCAACGTTGGCTATTCTGCAATCACCTAGCTGTACACTCGAATATCACGTTCGATCATGGTGCACCATTCATAAGCGAACGGAGGTTCTGCGTGCTTTAGACAGCATTTTTCATACCTGTTCAATAGCATTCTGGACTTCAGGTGGAAAACTTATACAGATATCTGCAGGTTCTTCGTCTAGAAATTCGTCATCATCTATTGAAGCCATATTCTTTTATATTCACAGCTCTAGTTACGACATGAAAACGATCAAAACCGAGAGCAACCTTCAAGAAGTGTACGTTTACGCTTGGAAACGTGCATGACGTCACGAACGGTGACTAAAGTATTAATGAATATTAATGCTGCCATCCGATCGAAAGTGCAGTTTTACCATTGTCGCCAATACAAGGAAAACCTTGTTCCCTAATTCTCTTATTCCGTCATTATGCTATAGTGACACCATTATTTAAAAGATTTAACAAAGTTCAACAAAAAGTAAACAGTTTGTGTACACGTGAAACGTAAACATGCCTTTTAAAAATGACTTGCTGTTACTGTTAAAGCCATATTACTTTGTTAATATTTTATTGAGTTTGTCATATCTTGCAGCTAAAAAACTGCCAGTTTTATGTTACATTTTATTTGAAACTGCATCGCCACAATGTGAATTGGACACTGTAAGTAAGGTTATTTTCGCTTAAGAAAGTATCTAATTAAGGAAGCCATAAATTAGAAATTCTTGCATGGATACAGTGGCTGAGGATGCCCTTTTCTTTTTCAGAGAGAGTCTGAAATACTCTTCTTCCTTCTAATAGTTGTCGTGATCAGAACAAAGAAAGCAGGAAGTGTGACAATGATAAATTATTTAACATCAAGCTTCATGTACAATAAAGTTGCAAATCTTATACTCTGGTTTTATGCCGACGTACGGTTGGGAATTGTATATGGAATTCTCTTTGTATGTAAGTAGGCCATTTAACTTTTCCTGCACACATTGTCACTTACAACCCAAAACATGGGTCAGTTATTGTATGTGGACTAAGAACTTACCTTTTTCTTGCAGTGCTGGGAATGTTATTGCCTGAACCAACATACTCAGGTCCAGAGAATGTCGTGTATTTCCGAACAGCTGCAGGGTTAGAGGAAGAACTACAAAGGGATAAAAAGATTACTTGGCTTGTTGTGTTCTATACAGTGTGGAATCCATCATGTACCAACTTTGCCCCAATATTTGCACAAATTTCAGCACAGTAAGCCCTTCTTCGTCTTCTTCTTTTGTTTCTGCTACTGCTGAAGACTAACACTTTTTAGGAAACATTCAAGCATTCATTATGATAAGAAATTTTGGAAAAGGCTTATATCTTAGGAGTATTCAACAAATTAATTTTACATCTCTGTACCAAAGATTATTAGCCTTCTCTTATCTAAAGTTAACACAGGTTACCTATCTTTATAAAGATTTTTGACTGTAGGACAGAACCTTAAGAAGTATTATTTACTTTGTTGGTCTTAAATGCGTATTCATTACCTATATTAGGTAGGTATTTGTTATCAAAAGAAGGGAAGTGGCAATTTGCTGTAAATACAGTGTTTGAAAATTGGCTTGCACAAATAATTTGCATATCATAAATTATTTCTCTCTTGTAAAAATTTTAAAGTTGTATTTCAGACAGCTCTCATTCAAAATATTTGGTATACAACATAAAGAACATGACTGCTGTTTTGAAACTTATCTTAAAAAAAAGTCAGTACCCAGTATACCATTACTGTACCCTTTTCCAAAGTAGTAACCCTCATCATTGTCTTCCTGAGATCTCTCCAACAAACTAATTTCACAGCACAGAATTAATGGGTTAGCACTATGATAATATGTGTGATTTACAATTCAGAGTTACCCAGTCTGAATCCCACTTTGGTACTGGCTACCTTGATTGGTTTTTTCTGTATTTTTGCTAGGTCCTTCTGGATGAATTCCATTTTAGTACCTTAAGTTAAATGACAGGCATATACTTTATCATTCTGATTTGTCAGCCATAATCAACCCACCTCATTCAACACTAACTTCAGTAATTGTAAACTATCCAAACACCTGTGGCATAGGGCCAGGCCAGAGCAGTTTATAATTCAGCCATCTAGTCCTTGTCATCAACACATGAACTCATTAAAAACCTGCCTTCTTTTTGTGGTTCATTTTATGGCATTGTCAGTATCTATACTGTATAGTATCCAGCGGTAGGGATTGATGAATGGTGGTAGTGAATGAAGCCCCCATGTGGTCTAATCTAGATACTATCCCGGCATTTGTATGGAGGGACTAGGGAAAACCATGAAAAACTGCAGTCAGGATAATGAAAGTCTCAGCCAAGTTTTGAACCAAGCACCTACTAAATACAAGTCTAGAGTGTTAACATTACACCAGGCTGTTCAGTGTGACATGTCTTTAGACAGTTCCATCTTTCCTAGGAATTGATTACAACTGTGTTAATAGGTATGTTCTAGAAAACCTGAAATTTGGAAAGATTGATGTGGGTCGCTACCCTGATGCAGCCAAGAAGTATAATATTAATGATTCATCCATGAGTCGTCAGCTACCAACAGTGATACTGTTCAAGAATGGTAAAGAAGTAACTAGAAGACCAGCTGCAGATAACAGAGGGAAACTTATCAAATTCTTCTTTTCTGAGGTAAAATATCTAGAAGCAGAAAAAAAAATTATTTCAGATTACTTCTAAGAGTGACTTTTTGTTATGACTATGGCCTAGTTGCACAGAGTATCCATAAAATGACACTGGTATTTGAAACCTGAATATCAATTGAAGGTGTTAGGATATTTATTTTTGGTGTGCGCCATATACCAACAGGATAGTGACAGTATACCACACACCTTGTCTAAAACATCTCTAAGGGTATATCATACCTTAAGTAGGCAACCTTACAGAAGAAAAGTCTGTGTTCATTGATATTTCTGATATGTTGACTTTTGAGTCCCATTATATGTTGAGAATAAAGTCTAGTAACTTCCTAGTGATGATGTAAGCATCTGCAGGACTATCTGATGACAGTGATCCTTCAGAGATGTTTTAGATGCAGTTTGAAATCTTTGATGCATACAACCAGATCAAAACGCAACGAAAGGCATTATTCGGAAACCTGAAAGAAGCCTGAAGGAAGGGGAGGGAGAGACGGATATCCAGTTTCGGTGGCACAAATGTGCATGCATCAGTAAGGACTCTCTGATTGCAGCAGTCACGAGTTCAAAATATCCATATATCAGTGTCTTGTTTTTTGCTGAACATGAACTATACAAATACAGAAAGTTGTAAACTATCATATGTTCTTTTGTTTCAGGATAACATGAAAGCATCATTTGATTTGAACCATTTGTATAATGAATGTAAGGCTAATCTATTAAAAAAGAAGAAAGGTGCTACTGAGAACAAGATAGAAGACCAGAATAGTCATATTAAATCAGAATAGAGTTAGAAATTATTTCACTAGTCATAATTTAGAAACACAACAGACATTGAGTGAGATTATAATTCCATGATGTAAAGAACTTGAAATGTGTGAATGCATGCCTCATGTTACACTCAGTGCCATAGTGACACCTGCCATTAAACATACTGAGGTGAGCTTTGAATTCACTTAGAAGTATTTTAGTTAAGTATTTTCTTGTGTAATGCATGCATTTGTAAGCAATTTTTTTGAAACTTATAAAACACTGATGTGTAAATTACAGACATATGAAAGATAGTATAATATCTGTTATATGCATTAGCTTTTTAGACACACTGTATGTTGTACAGAGGATTATAATTTTATTTTAGAAGTATATAAAACATATTTACAGTAATATGTACAGATGCATTCTCTGTCTGTGCTTTTTCAGTGTCCAAGCTGCGGGACCTGTTAGCAGTTTTAGTAAATTGGGCTGTTTAAGCATAAAATGCAAGGCCTGGTGAAATAATAAAAGTGTAACAATACTGTCACGAGTAGTGACTATGAAGGCTACTGTAGTCTAAAATGTGACAGGTGTAATTCAATAGGTAGGTACCAGTGTTTCAGTGAAACATGCTGCCTCTGTCTTTGGGGAAAAGGAATCTTGTACCCTAAAACTGGAGGCACCAAGTTTCTTGGAAAGCTTGGTATCTAATGCACTAAACTACACAGCATCATACCCAACAATACAGTAGTCTGGATGGTCAGTTCAGTTCCTGCCAGGACTGATGAGACTGCTCTCTTCTCTTTGTGTGTTTAGTCATAAAGGATGCCTCTTCTTAAAGCACAATAAATATCTTACTGTACAATATAGATTAATTACATCTTTGCTTTGAGAATTTAAAAGACAACCATGATCTCCTAGTAATGGTAGTCTCATATCTTTTGCAGTATGGATTTAATCTTCATGTCGTTGCTTTCAACACAGTTTTATCCATAATTGAAATTCACTTCATACTAACTTGTCTTTGCAGTAACTGTTCTTGGTTGGATTTTAAACCCTAAATCTCACATTCCAGTTGTCTTTCTCCATGTCCAGTTTTAAATGGATTGTTATAAAATTTGTGGAAAAAGTATTAAAAATGTGTTTAACATTACTATTTTTCCACAATTTGTTTGTGATTTATGTCCATAATTTACAGTTTCATTCATCAACAGTATATTTATTGTAATAGCTTTTGATATAAAAGTTATAAATATACTTATGAACTCTTTGCTTGTTCAGTTATTTACAGGTTGTTCAATGATGTCACAGAGGTGGCCATAAGAGTGCCACATCATTGTGGGCTGATTCAGGAATCCAGTTTTGATATGCTGATAAAAGATCTGAAATTAAACACATTACACAGTGTTACAGATAGAGAATGATATTACTTTACCCATTTTAGTCACAATGTGTTAAGCAATTAATTCCATGGAGTGGAGTCCATATTGAGAAGCTGATAATAGCTCTCTGTTCCTCAAGGAATTTCCCGCATTTTATGGAACCAGATGAATGTAGTCCACATCTTCACATGCTCTTTGTTGATTGAAGTCCTGTGCAATGTTTTGTAATGTCGTTTTATTTTCTGCATCCTAGTGTCTTATGGAATTAATCAGTCTATGTATGTACTTCACCTATCTCACAGCATTATAATCAACTACATCCTACTGTACATATATCATACATAACAAGCAAAACCCAGTTCATAGGCCGCTAGCACAGTAAGCCCTTCTTCGTCTCACACATCACTGAAGATTCTATACACCACACATCACCACAACACAAATGCCTATACACTAAATAGTTACCACTCAATTTTGATACAATCATACATTCACAAGGTACCAATTATACAAGACAGTGAACAACTATGCATCCACAGACCATGCTGCACCTACAAAACACAAGATTTCTTCATCAGTAACTAAAAATGCAACTATATATCCCCACATACCAGATATATATAATCTTCCTGGTAGTTTAGGGTGGCTGACCTCACCACCATCTGTCAAAAAAATATGGGAGTCTTGACATCTCACAACCCTATGGGCCTCCACAACCTCTTACAGGAATAGCTTCACTTTTCTATACAGAGTATCTGAAGAACGGTATCAGAAATAATTATACCTCTGAAAGCATTTATTATACACATTTATGGGTTACACCATTCATTCATCAGTAATCTGTCAGACGACATGTCCACAGTCTCTTCCAAAACAGTTCCTCCACTTAATGCGATCTTCTGTTTTTGGAAAGAGACTATCCAGGAAAAGTGATAATGTGGTAGTTTTTACATTTGCTTTTTTTTCTGAGTATGTAACTTTCTCAATAAATTTCAATGTGGGCTCCCTTGGTGGCATGACAAATATCCAGACGATATATGACCTCGTTCCACATTGCTTGAAGCATATTTGGTGTTACCATAGCCACAGTGTTCCTTATGTGGGCTTTCAGGCATTGAAGGTCGTTGACCTTAACTTGGTAGACAGTGTTCTTCACATAACCCCACAAGAAAACATCCAGTGGGGTCAAATCTGGCGACCAAGAGGCCAAGCAAATGGTCCACCTCTGCCGCTCCATCTCCCAGCCATCTCTCTGTCCAGGTGATTCCTAAAATGGTAGCAGAAATGTAGTGGTGCCCCATCTTGTTGGAGAATAGGCTCAGGTGGTAACTGGGGCAGTGCACACAGCTCCAAAATGTCGCAAGTATGAATGTCCAGTCACAGTCTTTTCCGAAAAGAGAAACGGTCCAATCAACTGTTGTGCATTAAGCCAGCCCACACATTCACTTTGGGGCTGCCTCCTTCCAACTCACATGTGACTCGGATTTTGACTGCCCCAAATCCTGCAGTTGTACCTGTTTACAACTCCTATGACATGGAACATTGCCTCGTTCAAGAAGCACACCTGGCAGAGGAAATCAGGTGACGCATCAATTCTTTCTAGCACATCCACAGCAAAGTTTGTGCTTGCTGCTTAGTCACCCAGTTTTAGTGAATGAATCCTCTGAATCCTGTATGCTCTTAGGTGGAGCCTTTTGTGTAGCACATTGTGCACTGTTGGAACATGGAATTTGTAACTACAAGCTAGCAGCATGGATTGATTTGTGTGGACTTCACTGGAATGCCCCTCTTATGTGACTGACATTTTCCTCAGAGGTCCACGTCTTTCCAAGAGATCTCACACACAACAGACTACTTGCAGTCTTCAGTTTGTCGTTCCAGGACCGAATGCTTTTCCATGTAGGAGGTTGATGTCCATATCGCGTTCTAAAATGACAGTGGATAGCTATAAGAAATTGCAACTCTGGTAGCCACAACACACACTGAACCTGTTCCTGTGGTGTCAACATCATTACTGAGCTCGCTAAAGGTCACCAGCTGGCACATGCGCATAAACTGGGCATGAAACAAAACTTTCAGAGTTTTCCTTTCCAGTTAACATAAACCGAATACATGTATGAGAATTATTTTTGGAGATATACATTTTTTATTTTGGATATCTTTCATCCGGACAGCCTGTATATGTATATATAACCTCAATAGATGTCCATAATAGCAAGAAGAATCACCAAACCACGGAAAGCAGAAAAAAAAAACATATTTTTTAACACAAAATGCAAAACAACATACACAGCACAAAACTTTTTTTAAACCATAAATGATTCATTAAGAAATTTGGACCACATGTGCGGTCACATCATTGCTGCAACGCCATATGCGATGAGGATCGCCTGGATGTGAAAATCAACCACCTGAAGAAGACTTTTAGACATGAGGTCATGCATGCTCTAGCTCCAAAACAAAGAAGGAACCAGCAGCAGTGATAATACCATACAATCAAGCTGTCTCCAACAAAATGAGCAGGTTTCTCTCCAAACACAAGACACTTCACATACCTATGCTCCAACCTGTGAAAGGCAACTTGTGCCTAAATGTTGCAGGGATATTGCATTCTATGTGAGTGTAGCAAGGTGTATATTGAACAGGCGAGCAGAAGCATCCAGAGCAGGTGTAAAGAACGAGATATATGCCTCGCCCAGCCGGAGAAGTCATCAGTGAATGAATATACATTTCAAATAGGGTGTAACATCAACTTCAGCAACACCACCTCACCAGACAAAACACCAGGATATATGGCCCATTTGAAAAAGGAGGTTACCAAGATCAGGGTTCACCAAAAAATCTTCAACAGGGACAGGGGATCCAATCTCAGTCAGTCCTGGTACCCGCCAAATGATAAAGCAGTTTCAAAAAATACCAATCTGGAGACAAGACCAAGCCTAGCAAATTTATGATACCACCCATTAGCACCCTACTGAATCACACTCAGCTCCTATCATGGACCACAGGCTGGTATACAGATGGGATAAGTAGGATTCTGTGTCACTTCAGATCCTGATGACAATGACAGAGTAATTTTTCACCACCTAACACAGCTGATAATCAGTGAATATTTTGTTTATTTTAACTGCCTTGAAAGTTTCAGATGTTATATAAATAATATATCTGACAAAAAATATAAAGTTGATATTGTATTTCAAAATACGCTATTGACCCTCCAAGAACGCAGTAAACTAAACAATGTGAGACATATATTACCAAGTTCTGAAAACTTACATGAAGTGTCTTTCTTCCAAGCTTCCATCAGCTTTGCCTTTGAGTCCACTTGTCGAGCAACCAGTGCTTTCAAAAGAATATCTGTCCTGGGTTGCAGCCTAGAGAGAGAACATGATTAAAACATACTAAATTACGATTTTATCCTTTGTTTTATACAGATACAAAACTTGGTCTTGCTCTATGGGGAAAACAGAGGAGGAGGAACCAACAGGAGAATGGATAAAATTACACAATGAAGTTTTAACTGGTACTCGCGTTATCAGATCAAGGAGCGTGAGATGGGTGAGATATACAGCATGCATGGGAAAAATGAGATGTCTACAAGATTTAAAGTGAAAACCTCAGAGAAGAAACCACTTTGGAGACCTACAATTAGATGGAAGGTTAATATTCAGATGGATAAAACAGGGTGTGAGGGTGCAGACTGGATTCAGCTGACTCAGATAGGATCTGATGGTGGGCTTTTGTGAACACAAAAATGACAACCATTCAGATTCCATTAAAAGCTGGCATGTTCTTGACCACCTGAGTATCAACTTTTCAGTAAAGATCTTGCACCATACAGTTAGTTCCTACCTAGATGCAGTATTTGTGCTAAGGACACAGTTTTATGTAAATTTTAACAAGAAACAGCCTGAGTTTCGCCTCATATTTCTGGGCATTACATACAGTGCCTAATTTTATATTTTGCCTGTAATGTATGTACAGTAAACAGTTTCATCAGTCCCTGATAATGGAGGCAAAAACAGTCTCTGAAACAGTAATATTGTTATACTGACATGGCTGATTGCCCACAGAGATTTTATTGGATTGACTCATCATGAAAGCTTAAAAAAGTATATGCATATACTACTTACTTGGCCCATGTCTTCACCATAGTTTTGGGAACACTAAGCAATGAACTTCTATACTTTTTCAACTTTGGAAAGATGACACCTTCCAGAAGAAAGCAAGCAAACCATTTGTAGCAGTCAAGACTTGGAGGAAATTCCACTTCCATTGTGGGCAGCTGCCATGCAGCACGGCCTAAAATTAAGCAATATGCATAGCACATGTAAGTACTACAGCACCACTGAGTTCCATAAAAGTCAGGGAATTTCTTGACCATCTAAGTGACGATCAGCTTCTCAAGGACTCTGCTCCATGAAGTTAGTTACCAAATTCCTTGGATTGACACTGGTTTCAAATGAAGTCTCAAAACATCATTAGTATTACTAGCATACTAAACATTCTTTTGAAATTGTGGATAGTACGATTTTGGCCTAGACTTAGAAACACCTTCACATCTGGGACCTATTATCCTTACATACACTTTGCAACTTCCCTTACTAAAGCTGGGTTCACCGTGTGGATTTGGTCAGTGTTCCCGATATTTCAGAGTTATATATTACCTCCATCTTCAGGGTAAAATTGAGTAGGATCCATCGGTTGTTGAGTTGGGTAAATTTCTGTTGGTCTTTACCAGCATAGTCACTTTTGGTTCAGAGTCATGCAGGATTCAGGACCATATTTTACTGTCTTACAACTCCTTGAGTCCAACTGACTGTGTGGGCGTTTGTGTATACATAGGTTTAGGTCCCAGCCTGGCTTCGATTCCTGGCAGTGCAAGATTTCTCTCTACTGCACAGTGTCAAGACAGACTCTGGAGCCTGCCCACCCAGCCTCCTAACCAATGGATACTGCAGGCTCTTTCCCTGGGAGTAAAGCAACAGGGGCATGAAGCTGACCACTCACCTCGAAGTTCAAGAAAGGTGGAGCTATTACTCCACTCCCCCATATATCTTAATGGCATATTTACCTTTCAAAGGGTTTTGGTCCAACAGACCCATGGGGAGGGCATTTGCTTGGTCAACAGTTTGATGGGCGATCACTTGCAAACACAAGTTTCCGTATGAGTGCGTGAGGGTGCACGTGGTGCATTCTGTGCCTGTCTGTATTCCCTATTGTTCCAGACACTGCACCAGTCCTGTTCTCTCTCTGCCATAAATTATTTTTGCACAACTGTAATCTTTGAGTGACAACACATACTGAACAAGCACCAAAATCATGCTGCTTGTACCATCAAAGCTGCTCTGATACTGAAAGTTGCTTCAATGATTATTTCATGTCATTAATGACTTAGGAATTAATTTGATATTGTGACAAGACACCTGAAAGCCAGAGTAGTGGAGCCTGAAGAGACAGCCACTGCTAGGGAACAGCTTGGTAAACATGCCTGCATGGCAACATACATACACAACAACAGAAGAACTGTTGGAAGCGGTGATTTCTATGCAGTCTGTGCCAAGGCTGTATAATGAGGACCAAAACCAACGGTTAGCCAAGAAGTGAGAGTCAGTGAAAGGGGTTGAAGCTAAAGGAATGAGTGGGGAGAGTTGAGTGGTGAGTGAGTTACAGCAGAAATGGGAGAAGCAGATGATGAGCCAGCTACTGAGGTCGCAATCAGACAGTAAGTCAGTACACCAGGTCTTGACAGGATTTAGTGGTTTGAACAAAACGTGTGTTGGACAGGGTGGTTTTTACGGACTTCACTTTATGGAAATGTGTTCACAGCTAACTACCATTTGACAAAATTTGCCACCTGGCCGTGGCTGTGCGGTGCTGTTAAAAAGATCAAAACAAGCAGTGAAAGTGAGCATACACCAAAATGGCAAATGTCCCAGTAATTCCAGAAATACCGGACACAGGAGCCAGCACTGCTGAAATCTGAATGTCATGCCATCAGAACTACCCAGAACCAGCTTCTGTAGTGCAAAAAATGTATGAACTACTCAGTGACACTGAGAACCTTGACAGATGCACACTGGCTGAAGTAGAGGAAAGCTCTGAGTGAACCTCTATTATGAACAGCACAGAGGAGAACAGAGCATACTACTGCAAAGCTCTAGATGGGAAGCCACTTTGTAGTGATCTTTACAGCAAGTATGCGGTAACACTGCATAAAGTGAAGGCCATCCTGAAGGTGACTGCACAGGCAGAACAAAGTGGTGTAGTGAACAAAACCTCAGTGGAATAAACGACCCAGGACAACTTCCAGGAAGTAAAGAGATGCAAGAGGCATATGTCTAATAATACCTCGCTGACAGCCAAGAAGTTGACTAAAGTAGTCCCAACATCCGCAGCTGTCAAGCTGCCTCCAAAAGCAGTGTTAACTCACAATTTCTTTGCACCTTTCAGAACTACTAACATCAACACAGACTACTGGTGCAGGGAACACACTACCAGAGCAGGAGGCTCCAAGAAAACTATGTGGGCCACCACCAATAATGATGGCTTCTACAACAAATCTCATTAGGCTCCAAAGTGAATTAAAAGAACATGTGAAAGGACAGTAAAGAGTTCCAAAATACACAAAATGGAACCTGTATCATAACAAAAGCAATTGTGGACTATTCAGCAATGAAGTTCTACCTGAAGAAAAATAATCTCCACTATTTTACCTTCTCCCCAAATTCTGAAAAGCCTATAAATGGAATAATCTGTCACCTTCTCCCAGAAATGCCAGTGGAGGATATTTCCAACACCCTTGAGGACTTAGGCTTCAACATCATTAACGTGAGAAAAATGATGGACAAACCCACGCGAAAACCCTCCCTCTATTCCTTGTTAGCTTAATAAGAAACATAAAATCTCAAGAGATATTCAAGCTGAAGAGCCTTAACCATATTATCATCAAGGCAGACTCAAAACACAGCTCGGACTGACCTTACGCAGTGCTACAACTGCCAAAACTTTGGCCATATCTGGGCCAACTGCAAGCAACCCCTTCTAAGTCTGTGGTGTGGTCCTGGCCACCTGCATAAGGAATGCCCTGAAAAGACAAATATAGAATCTACACCAAACTGCTGCAGTTGCTCCATAGTAGACGAAGAGAAACCTCATCCAGCATCATATCAAGGCTGCAGTAATGCAAAAGGAGAACTGCAAAGAAGAGGACCTTCTTCTCTAATTTCACCTCATCAGAGCAGATGCACTGCATCAAGAAATGCAACATCAGCACCCACAGGCACCATAGACAAATGGGAAAAACTTGTGGCTCACCATTAGTAGTGTCTGCTGCAACAGGAGATTCAGGGAACAGGTGTGTCAGTACAGGCTCCCAGTTCATCTAACAGTGACACGTTAAAAATCACCACTCTAGTGCAACAGATCATCATAGAACTCAGTGAAGCTGTACCAGTAAAAGACAAAATAACTGTCATTACAGAAATGGTACTCAACTTAATGAAAACAAATGGCTGCTAGAGGGCAGTGCTATGAGCTCAGTAAACAGTTGCAAGACGTATATAGAGGCAGCTCTGCCTGCAGAGACATCTCAAACCCCATTAGAGGTTCTTTATTCCAAATTATCACTGAGCTCTTAAACTTTAGATATTAGCCCGTTGCCGTGGTTCGTCGTGTATGTTTCGTCAGGGATTTAAATCGTCTGGGGGGGTTCGACGTGTATGTTTCGTTCAGCTGCACACCTATGTTATAACGCCCATAATAATTGATGGTTTTGCTGTAGATTGTTAGATTTTTCGCTGGCCTGTTGTCAGTAGAACAGAGTATAAATAAGACACGACTTTATCTG